CTCCAGGACTGCACCGAATATGAAACATTAAGGCACATTTTTTGGCCAGAAAGAACAACAGTGGAACGTAAACTGTAAGGACCACTGAAGAACTAACAACGACAGTGAAATTCATACAAGAGACAAAATTGCTGATATAGACAACTTATTTCAGGCGAACGAAAGAAGAAAAAGAAGAACTAACCGTCTATTTGTCGTTCTGGTCGTGCAGGTAGGCGCTTAATTTGCTACCGCAGCGACGATATGTCACTGTAACCTCAATACATATTGCAATTATTATAAAGTCTTGTCAGATTGTCTAATAAGCGAAGCAGGAGATGTCCGAGGCCCGGGATTAATAAACCAGGTAGGCCAGCTCCCCGAGATTGTCTGTTGGATAAACGGGCTGAAACAATTGTTGAAGAAGCACCACCTACTGAGGAGAGAAAGGCCCCAGCTGTACATGCTACCGCCTGGAGTTCTTCTCATTATTCTTATTCTGTGGATCCATCCCAACGTCTTGTGTATTTCCTCCACTCACGTCCTCTGCAAGTGCAGGGGCCGACCTCAGCGAATGTGGATACAAGACATTGAAGATGCATTGGGTGTTGAACCACACAGGGCTTGAGAACTAGAGAGAGAACGAGAGACCTTGAGGTGCCGTTAAGAGTGCGACTTTTCTGTAAAGGTCATGCTCATTGATAATGGTGAGTGCTACCCTTTGACATTCTGTCGTTAATCAGTTTCTTCCGAAATCAGTCACATTGTGATGCAGTAATTGCTTTTCGTCATTGACGTGTTAATTAGGCTTTTGCTTTTTCAAGATTAGACTTTACCAATGTTGTGAGAAAGCTGCGTTGTATTCTAGCTATTCTATGGCTCGTTTACTCTGGAACAAACGCAGCTTCCTACAATTGATAAGACTGTAACGCCACTAGGATTCCATTATGCATTCTGCCAGTTTATTTCTTCTATTCTATCACAATCACCCACCGTTATCATCGCTGTTCTCTTCGTTAACTCCCTTAAATAAAATTATAGTAACGACATCACGACTGTCTTCTTCTGACTCTGGTAGACGAACTACAACGAGCCCACCTCGAACTTTCCCTTGCTTACCCTTCCAGCCCCAAGTATCACGTGCAGTCGTTTGCAGCACGGATTTTCTGCTTGACTTGCTTTTAGCGTGGAGACCATGCAAAACACCCCATCACAGCCTCCCCCCTTCTTAACAAAATTATACTTTATGAAACATTAAGTATTCTTTTTATTATTTAACCGAAAACAGTATTGTGAATCAATCAAGGTAATTTAAAATTCAAATTGCATTACTAGGGATTATGGTTCCTGACTACCCTCAATTACTGCCCTTGCCTTTAAAATTTACTGCATGCTCTTTCAAGTACTGAGGTGGTAAAGAGTCCAAAATTATCTTTGCACCTATTGTACCTGTAGTATTGTCTAGTCACTATATCTAATCTACGGGTTCAAAGTGAAATGATTGTGATGATGGTCAGCTTTGAGATATTTATTCCATAGAAAATTGGATGAAACCAATATTTCTATATCCACCTTTTACAGGGTTTTTAGCACCAAGGACTATAAGCCGCAATGCTTACATGCTTATTTACTTCCCGTCATTTTTAGGATGAATTTTTTCGTTCCTTGAAACTCTACTCTGGCTCTTGCCAGGGGCCGCAGTATAGCCCAGCCATAAAAATGGCCTAAAGGCTGAATGCGGTTTCTGGGACTTCACGGTGATCCTCACCCACATAGTGGCACTTGTGTCATCGGGTGTTTATCGCTTGTGTGATGTCCTGGTGGGGTGGGAAGTCAGTCAGTCAGTTAAACCGCAATGATAGTGGTGAGATGTGTTTTCCGTAGTGCTTCAGGTTTCCCAAAAGACTATTAACACTCTCTACGGGGTGGTTAGCCCCAAGGAATCTACCACGAAATAAAAATGAACGTTGGGATATTTTTTCATAGACGTAGTCTACTAAACATTTAACAGGGTAATTAGCCACAGGGAATTAAACATGAAAAACAATGAGAGTAGATATTTTTTCACTAATACTTAGAGTTTCCCCCACGCTTACACCACCTTTTACAGGGTAGGTAACCCTAAGAAATCTCACATAAACAATGAAAGCTGAGCTATTTTGTCATGGAACTTAGAGTTTCCCCCCAAGTAATCCTGAGTGTGCCCATATGTGCACGGAACTATATAAACTGAAGTTATGCTGAACGATTCCATGTGTGCACAGGCGTGTATAAAGTAATGCTGAGTGAGTCCATGTTTGCACGGAACTATATTAACTGAAGTTATGCTACACGAGTCCATGTGTGCATAGACACGAATAAAGTAATGCTGTGTGTGTCCATGTGTGCACATAACTATATAAACTAAAGATATGCTGAGTGTGTCCATGTGTGCACATAACTATATAAACTAAAGATATGCAGAGTGTGTCCTTGTGGGCATAGTCAAGTATAAAGTGATGCTGAGTGAGACTGTGTGTGCATAGAAATGTATAAAGTAAGGCTGAGTGAGACAGTGTGTTCATATAAATGTATAAAGTAATGCTGAGTGAGTCCGTGTGTGCAAAGACATATATAAAATTATGCTGTGTTCATATAAATGTATAAAGTAATGCTGAGTGAGTCATGTGTGCACAGACATATATAAAATTATGCTGAGTGAGTCCTTGTGTGCATAGAAATGTATACATTAAAGTAATGCTGAGTGAGACAGTGTGTGCATATAAATGTATAAAGTAATGCTGAGTGAGACTGTGTGTGCATAGAAATGTATAAAGTAATGCTGAGTGAGACTGTGTGTGCATAGAAATGTATAAAGTAATGCTGAGTGAGACTGTGTGTGCATAGAAATGTATAAAGCAATGCTGAGTGAGACAGTGTGTGCATAGAAATGTATAAAGTATTGCTTAGTGAGTCCATATGCGCACAGATATATATAAAATTATGCTGAGTGAGTCCATGTGTGCAAACAAATGTATAAAAAGATTCTGAGTAATTCTGTGTGCACAAATAACTGTATTACTTAAGTGTCGCTGAGTGATTCTATGTGTGCATAGAAATGTATAAAGTAATGCTGAGTGAGACAGTGTGTGCATAGAAATGTATAAAGTATTGCTTAGTGAGTCCATATGCGCACAGAAATATATAAAATTATGCTGAGTGGGTCCTTGTGTGCATAGAAATGTATACATTAAAGTAATGCTGAGTGAGACAGTGTGTGCATAGAAATGTATAAAGTAATGCTGAGTGAGACTGTGTGTGCATAGAAATGTATAAAGTAATGCTGAGTGAGACTGTGTGTGCATAGAAATGTATAAAGTAATGCTGAGTGAGACTGTGTGTGCATAGAAATGTATAAAGTAATGCTGAGTGAGACTGTGTGTGCATAGAAATGTATAAAGTAATGCTGAGTGAGACAGTGTGTGCATAGAAATGTATAAAGTATTGCTTAGTGAGTCCATATGCGCACAGAAATATATAAAATTATGCTGAGTGAGTCCATGTGTGCAAACAAATGTATAAAAATGATTCTGAGTAATTCTGTGTGCACAAATAACTGTATTACTTAAGTGTCGCTGAGTGATTCTATGTACACAAATAACTGCATTTCTGACGTGAAGCTATGTGAATCTGTGTGAAAAAATAGTGCATTTCTGGAGTGATGCTGAGTGAGCCATGTCTGCATAGAATTATACAACTTAAGTAATCCAGTGTGTGTATGACTGCACTTAAGTATATAAAAAAAAACTTATGCTGAACAAGTCAATGTGTACAAAGACATGCATAAAGAAATGCTAAGTGTCTATGCGTGCACGGAACTATATAAACTAAAGTTATGCTGACCGAGTCCTTTTGTGCACAAACATGTATAAAGTAAAGTAAGGCTGAGTGTGTCCATGTGTGCACGGAACTATATAAACTAAAGTTATGCTGAACGAATCCATGTGTGCATAGACATACGAAGTAAAGCTGTGTGTGTATATGTGTGCACGGAAGTATAGAAACTAAAGTTATGCTGAACGAGTCGGTGTGTGTATCATCATCATCATCATCATCATCATCATCAGGTGCCTTGCCGACTGGCGTGGGTAAAGACATGCATAAAGAAATGCTGAGTGTGTCCATGTGTGCACAGAACTATAAAATCTAAAGTTATACGGAGCGTGTCTGTGTGTATATAGACATGTATAAAGTAGTGCTGAATGAGTCCATATATGAACGGAAGTATATAAACTAAAGTTATGCTGAACGAGTCGGTTTGTGCATAGAAATGTGTTAAAGTTATGCTGAGTGAGTTTGTGTGTGCATATAAATGTATAAACTAAAGTAATACTGAGTGAGTCCCTGTGTGCAAAAACATGTATAAAGTAATACTGAGTGAGTTTATGTGTGCAAAAACATGTATAAAGTAATACTGAGTGAGTCCATGTGTGCGTAGAAATTTATAAAGTAATGCCGAGTTGTCCGTGTGTGCATAGAAATGTATAGACTAAAGTAATGCTGAGTGAGTTCGTGTGTGCACAGAAATGTATAGACTAAAGTAATGCTGAGTGAGTTCGTGTGTGCACAGAAATGTATAGACTAAAGTAATGCTGAGTGAGTTCGTGTGTGCACAGAAATGTATAGACTAAAGTAATGCTGAGTGAGTTCGTGTGTGCACAGAAATGTATAGACTAAAGTAATGCTGAGTGAGTTCGTGTGTGCACAGAAATGTATAGACTAAAGTAATGCTGAGTGAGTTCGTGTGTGCACAGAAATGTATAGACTAAAGTAATGCTGAGTGAGTTCGTGTGTGCACAGAAATGGATAAACGAAAGTGATGCTGATAACTGTAGTGCTGCTTTATTTGTATTTAAGGTAAAACTTAAGCTAGAGATAGAATTTATTTTAAATAATTAAATGTTATTATAAATATCTTCAGACATTTTCCAGACTCGCGAGGAGAAAACGGTTACCTGGACGTTAGCTGAATATAAGGTAACATGGGGATTGTGATTCAAGTTCTATATGCGTTGACAGTTGCTTCAGGTACAGCTGATTCATTATATCCTGTTTTTATGCTTTTTGTGACGTGTATAGTTAGCTAGCTAATTAGTCAGTTAGTTAGTCATTTAGTCAGTTAGATAGTTGGTTGGTTACTTAGTTAGTTAGTGAATTAGGTAGTTAAATAGCTAGTTAGTTACTTAGTTAGTTAGTTTATACTTAGTTGGCAGACTGTACACACATGTTTGGAACAGAAGTGGCATAACCCTGCAGATAAATCTTAAAGTTTCCAGAGCAGTTGTATTAACTACACTGTTGTATGCATGTGAAACATGGACTATACCAGAGCAAGATCAGAAAGTTAAACTACTTTCACACAGTCTTTTAAAACTAATGTAGATCAGATGGAAAGACAAAGTACACGATACCGTAGTCCCTGAGAAAACAGCAATGCCCAGCATTCACACTCTACTGATGCAGTACCAAATTCGTTGGGCTGGTCATGTGGCACACATGCTAGATCACAGGCTTCCCAAAAAAACTCTTTTATGGTGAGCTGCTAAATAGGAAAACGTTCCCAAGGCGGGCAAAAGAAACGTTTTAAGGACACCCTAAAGTCTTCACTCAAAGCATTTGGGATGATTGACACCAATTGGGAGGCTGCCTCTCAAGACCGAAATACATGGCGTGCAGCTCTACACAAGGAAGAGACTCCATGTGAAGCAAACAGAACAGCAAGACTTATTAAGAAAAGGATGGACAAAAAGGCGACTGCAGGAGATCCCCTCCCTGGCAAAACACTAGTTTCCTGTCCTAACTGTCCAAGAACATTTCGGGCCCACATCGGCCTCATCAGTCATCTTCGTACTCATTCTTGATGAAAAAGAGTGGTCATCATCATCTGATGGACAACACACACACACGCACACACACACTTAGTTAGTTAGTTAGTCAGTCAACCGACAGATTATTCTCTCTGCACATCGGACAAGTACCTTAGGGCTCGGACCACCATCTTCAGTATGACCCCCGGCCTCGTCTCCTGTATATTTTACTGGTCCTGTCTCCTTGAGACCACTGAGAATATCGGCCCTGTCCATTGCTTCTTGTGTAACTACCGGGTCTCCGTGAACAAGCCCGACCGCTCGTTCGTTTTCTTTCACCCCTGAGTTCCTTAGCACAAATATGAAACTGATTCCTGTCAGAGCCGACTTACCCGGTGACTCAAACAATTGTCTTCGAACCCATCCTCGATCTTCTTGAACATGTTTATGGAATCACATAGAAAGACACCAAATATAACCTTCTTTGAGACTGAAGAGCGTAATATTTATATCTAATTTTATAAAAACAAATCACAGAAAAAGAATGCAAGGGAGAAATGTTTTGTCTTTAGCCACATCATTGCTTTTGCTACCCCTATCACTTCTATTGCAGTCGAGGCAACTGCATTGTTATCTTCTTAGACTTTTGCTGTTCTTCCTTCAATCAGAACGGGGAAGCTTGTGATCTTTGCACGAGTCGAAGGACAGATCCATCGGTGTGAATGACTGCATCTCTATCAGCAGAATTCTCAAGATTTAAGGCTTGGACTTCCTCCGAAACCATCAACCGGTTTTGTTGTCTGCATTAGATGTCCAGGGTGCAGACTGACAAGGACTAAATCACTCTGCTGGCAGTCCTAGCAAGATTTTCCTTTTTTTAACCTACTATCGTTCTTTTTGCCGATCTCGCTGTGCAGTGAATGATGTGTGTCGACACTGACACGCAGATGCGCGTGTGCGCGGCAGATCGCTGTCCTTACTTCCATTGTTGGCAGACCAAGGAGATGACGCACGGCCCTGCAATGCCGTATTCTTTGTTTATCAAAGTATGATACCCAATGCTTTATTCTATGTCCGATTTAGTCTCGCTGTCTGTGTACTGTTGAGAGTCAGAATCACCAGATCATACAAAATTACACTAAGGATCAGACCATGGAATAAGAAAAGGAAGTGACGCTGCACACAGTTTGGCGCGGTTATTATCAAACCTCCATTTGACTTCATTATCACGTGGTTGATATGCTCATGAAAAGCAAGACTACAGTCAAAACACACTCCTGGATACTTCAGTGTACGAGTTCTCTCCATTATCTCCGAACACAGATCGGCCTATGACAGTGGGAACATTTTGTAGAAACGGTGGTGTGCGTATGCCAACAGACCAGGAGAAAGGGGAGGCTTTTCTCCATAGGTTTATAGCTCAGACAGATCATAGTGATTTAGACATAAGGGATGCAGTTAGAGAGGTGTTTGCTGGCACCTTAAAGAATATGCATTATGAAGGCATGTTACAAGTAGAAGATATCAAACAAATTTTGAAAAAAAAAAAGGTAAAAGACACTGCACGAGGGCCTGATGGGGTCAGGTATGGTCACGTGAAGGCTTTGAGCGATGTAGACTTGGCAGAGATGGCCGATTGTTTTAACCAGAGCATTTAGACAGCAGCATCAGTACCGCAGGACTTGGTGCACAGCTATCTAATCCCACTACCACAGTCTTTTAAGGATAATTCAAAGCTAAGTGGCTTTAGAATCATCGCCTTACAAAACACATTTGGGAAGGTCCTGGAGAAGATATTTGCTGTAAAGCTGCGAACATTTTTGGAAAGGGAGAAGCTTCTCCCAAGAGGGTCTGGGAAGCTACAGGCCAGGAAAGGACACATGGGAAAATACGGCCACTTTTGCTTTCGACGTCTTTAAAGGGTTTCTTTGTCAAATGAGAGAAGAAAAAGAATTTTTAAAAGCTAAATAAATCCTATATTAACACACCGAAGTAAATCATGGACAGTTGGTAAAAACTTATTTGGAAGCTGAGATGTGGTTTTGTAAACGAATGATGACGATACACTGCACATATAGGAATAATAACCAAGACGTCTTGAAAGAAACTGACTTACGAAGAGAACTGATTGCCCACATCAGAAAGAGACAATGTACATTCTTTGGTCATGTGATGAAAAGGAGAAAACTTGAGTACATCATGACAGTTGGACAGTTAGAGGGGAGGAGAGACCGAAAGAACAGATGCTGGACAGTTTGACATCATGGCATGGAGTATCACCTTTATCAGAGTTGATTGAAGTAGACGAGACAGAGAGATAGGGATAGACATAACTGCCAACGCCACACGGTATGAACTTTAAGAAGAAGTAAATATGTATTGTGCATTATCAACTGTAAGGCTGATTTCTCAACCGCTTAATGCTGAGTTCATTATTTTTTATTTTCACATATTTTCAACTATTATCCCACTTCCTGACAGAGCATCTACGGCTCATTGTAGCAGTCTAGTGGCCACTGTTGCATTTGCATGTGTGCATCATAGTACCAAGTCGTCAGCATACACCGCAGCATTAATACCATGGGGTAGTTGAGCACTTAGTTCGTTGATATAGGCTAAAAAAGTATTTGGGGACAGGACACTACCTTGGGGGACACCATAGCGCAGCATTACTTTCTTACTCTTGAGTCCGCCTATCTGTTCTCGGGCTCTTCTGGATACGAGTATCCTTTCACCCATTTGTACATACCCCCATTCACTTTGTAGTTTTTCAGTTTCTTCATAGAGCCTTCGTTCCAGACCTTTTCAGATCCTTTATTTTTATCCTTTCATGCAACAAGCACTAGTTTCTCTCTCTCTCTCTCTCTCTCTCTCTCTCTCTCTCTCTCTCTCTCTCTCTCTCTCTCTCTCTCTCTCTCTCTCTCTCGCTTTGTCTCTCTCTCTCTCACACTTTCTCTCTCTCTCTTAGTTAGTTTTGAGTTTGTTTATCTTTACAGCACATCGGGCACACTCATAGATATTCCCTCATCAACATATTTATCGGCGTTGCGTGGTTAATATGGCCAGTTCTAAGTTATTTGTCAAAAGTGTTTGTTCGTCCGGTTTGCCCCTCATGCCTGGCTGTGCCGATCTTTGCTCCCAGTTCTCGTATTCTTAGCAGACTCAATCCAATGTCTGTGCGTATGGAGCCTGTGACGACCCGCCAGATCATCCTTATAGAATCACTCAGCACATAAGTTCGTATAGTCCACTGATTCTAGCCACATGACAGCTTGTGTTACCGCCATCACCCCCATCGTCAAACTGCTGGTAGTCATTGAGAAGGCACCAATGGCTTCTTTGACTATTCTGCTCTTCTTCTGTAAATTTTTGTAGATCAGCACATGTCTAGTCTGAATTGTCTGTGATAAGCGCGAGGACCCCGGCGTTAACAGCAACGGGATTCTGCTCCCGACAACTCCCAGCAAGCATGACGACACAAGAGAAGGGCAACTGAGCACTTGCGGCACTGCTATCCATTCCTCTTTATGGTGGATGTCTGAGACTGCAGACCGACTTGATATCATCCTCTGTCCTACCCAGCCATAATTTGCCCCTTTTTAGTCTGTTGCCTTTTTCTTCTTTCTTCTTCTAAAGAGCATGGGGTGCAAAGGGTACAGCACCAGCTTATTTCCTTGGATGGCATTCTCACTTTCTTGACAGAGGTAATTTTCACTTACCAATATCAATTTGCTTGAGGATTATCCTAGTAATGTTGTTGTTAGATTTTAAGGGTTCCTTTTCTTTGTAATTTCCATTACTTCTGTTTTCCTTTTTTTTTTTTTAATTAGGACCCTCGTTTTGACGTTATGTTACAATTATGTCCGCCATTTATCGCAGTTCAGTTAAATTTTTAACGATCAAAACAATATGGTCAGCATATGTAGATTGTTAACAACAAGCTCTGTGTTGAACAAAGGGACATTTATTTGTTTTTGCTGGTACCTCCCCCACACTTCATCTCCTCTTTTTACAATAAGCCATATGCACAGATAACGCCCTTGACAGGAAGTGACACGAATTATCATCATCATGTGGCAGGTGCTTTGCAGAACATCGCTCTCGTCACTGCCTGTCCGAAAGAAACCTGGTCTCTCGCTAGCTCTTCTACCTCGTGGTGTGTCTATTTTGTTTCTTTTAAATTATCTACCAGCGACGGTAGGCTTTCCCTGATACGTGCTCCTAACATCCCCTGTTCCCAACTATAGAGTTTTCTTTAGAGCAGTGACAGCGCTTTCTGTTGTAGTACCCTTGGGTTTAAAGCCGTCATCGCAACTACCTTTACTTGCTTTCTCATCGCCATCTTTGTGCTTGTGATCTGCCTGGCCTGGGAGCCTCACCAATAAAACTTTTTAGTTTCATTTTGTGCTTTCATGATGATTTCTTGGGATAATAATGCGATAGTTTCTTCTTGCTTTCCACATCCACTTGGCTTTAGATGTTCCTGCTAATAGCAGAGAGCACCGCAGAGGGGTCTGCTTATCCCCGTGGATACTCGATCCCCATAGCTGCGCTGGACAAACGCAGTGTTTACCATCTTCTATTGCGTGGAGGTGCAGTTGTGACTTTCCCTTGGCTGAGTCTTATGACCAGAACGGCATTTCTCAAAACTCCCCAGTACTTTTAGAGGCCACGAATCTGCTGTATTTTCTACTTTCCGTGATAAGAACCCTACACAAGGACCCTCATTCCAAGCCGTTCCCCCTGTGGCCATCAGCTGCTTCATGGCGGGGGTGTTTCCCTTCTGCGGCTACTCTAAGATATTACCTCACTGATAGCATTTTTAGACTGTCTCTGTTGCTTCCTGTGATCGCCGATTGGCTTAATTTTGTACACTCTGCTTCATAAACTGACTCTTTGAGTCAGATCGATTATCGATTATAAAACGAGGCAGTACTGGCGTACAGTGAGCGGCATTGGTTGCTACATGTTTATTGGTGGTATATTAATTAGTGCATTCAGCGCTTTTTGGCATTTTGCTGAACTGCCTCCACATGCACCCTAAAGGAAAGGCATTTTATGGAACGCAATACCCTGGTAGCTGAGTTTCCTTTTTTTTTTTAAAGTTTCCATAATTAACTGCGATATTTAGCGTCCCTTTGGATATTTTCTCCAGAATATGCCCGTGTACTAGGAAACGAACAGGCAGATAGACTACTTTGTTTTGCCCCTCTTGTTTGTGAATAGATGCATGGCAGGCTATATGTTTTATGGGCCCTTTGGGAGCGAGTGAACAGTGCGAAGGCACACATAGATCATTCCAGATTGAGGAGAGGGGTGCTGCGAGAAGTTTTCCTATTGCCTAAAGCGTTTGAGATATCTGCTCCCTCCCCCCTTCTCTCTCTCTCTCTCTCTCTCTCTCTCTCTCTCTCTCTCTCTCTCTCCCTCCCCCTTCTCCTCTCTCTCCCCCTCTCTCTCTCTCTCTCTCTCTCTCTCTCTCTCTCTCTCTCTCTCTCTCTCTCTCTCTCTCTCTCTCTCTCTCTCTCTCTCTCTCTTGCCTGTATGCAAGAATTTTCATTTCGTTCCAAACAATTTACTTCAAGTCTCTCTTGCTAGTATATACATCGAAGGAATTTAGTGAAGCTGCAGATTCCTTTAGTAGTCATGTGGATATATTGCACGGCTCTGAGACTTTTCCACCCAGACTGAGAGCAAGTAGGAGGTAAAAGGGACACACAACTTGCAGTTATTTGATCTGTACCACCGACTGCGATTGTCATAGAGTTGTTTCATAGGACAGGGCATACTAGAGACATCCGGTTAAAATGGACGCCAGGCGCGATTACTGTTTCGCGTCGAGACAAATTTTTTTCTTCTGCCAGACGATGGCCGTTGCATTTTTGATTCATCTGTACAATGAAAGGATACAGTTTCGTCGCGCCAGCTACTGAGATGGGTGCATGGCGCGAACCTGTGAGCTGCGAATTTCATTTGGAATGTTTTCGACTGTGACCAAGGTGGTGTTGTGAACTTTAGATTCAGATAATGGCGCGTGGCCTGTCGCGCAATATTGGTAGTGCCCTTATGTGACTGATATTGATCGCGTGCGCAACTGCTGATCTGTTGGCGACTTCTGCCGTCGATGATGAAATGCATTTCTAATGTCAGACTGTGTTAGCACTTCTGATGGCTACCGTATGCTTTTAATGCGTGTCTATGCTAGTGCATGCGCTGAGACAGCAGTCTGTCAATTCCACAAGGGACTGCAACGAACATGCTGTGTGTTTTTCGTTGGCACAGGAGCGTAGCAACTATAGGGTGACCAGTTTGCTATGAAGCTGAAACTAAGATTATCAAAACTGCCAAGCTAGAAACACCAGCTGACCATTCCATATCGCCTCTAACAAATTTCAATGCTCGTTTATTGTTCCGCCTAATGAAACTATTAATCGTTGTATCGTCAGGTTGTGCATACACGTAAAGAGTTAAAGTAAGCTATTAAAACTGTTTCCAGCAGATACTCTTTTTCTGCGGTTCAAAGGAAATGCTGTAGAAAGAGAACGTAAACCAATTATATCTATATAATAATGAGCTAGTTTATACGTAAAGAGAATTGACAATGTGTGACACAGTATTACTTTCATACCAACACAAATTAATGATTTATTATTTACATTCCTCACTTTAGAGACATTTTGTCGGACAGTAAAACTCACAGATCCTAAAATAGTCTCACCTTGTAACAATTCAGCACGAGCCAACAAGGACAATTTTACAGCTACTGTTCTGGGTCAAGAACTGGTACCCAGGAATGCCCCGGATGACTGGGCTGGGATTATGGATCTAAGCGTAGTGAGGCCAGGTCATTTTCTTTCTAAAATTGTAAGTTGCAATCAATGCTCACTGTTAATGTGTAATCTGATTTTTTCAAAAAATGTTTATTAGTTTACTTATGTTTTAAAACTTTCTCATCAAATTCATCTCTTTGTAAATGCCAACATTTATGAAAGTAGAGAGACGCCTGGAAAATACTGATCGATCAATAGAAAGTGTGCTTGCATTCTCAATTTATTGATTTTTCAAAATATACTTTAAAAAAAATGAAAACTTTATTGTAAAGTACAAATATAATGTTTTTAAAAAGCCACATTTGAACCCATTTAATCATTATTCATCCACCGTTCAAGCTCTCTTTGCTTGCTGTTTGTAGTCAATCAAGTAATGAGGTGTCTCCTGTAACAGTCCGAAGGTAATCAACAATCATTGAAGGGCTCCAGTTGCCTCGACAACTTGTCTCCATAGGAACAGTTAGTTAGTCGCCAGATTATCGTCATCGCACATTGAACCATTTAGTCCATAAGTGCTTAGATGCCCTCTTCGGTATCTCCCTCAGCGTGTAGTGGCATATGACACCAGTTCTGAGGTGGTTTACTATTCTTCTGGTAATCTGGTGATCCTAGTTTCAGCTCCATAACAAACGGGTCTCCCCACAGTTGCTCCGCTCCTGTTATTCTTCTATGGGCCCCTGTGTAGTGCTCTTGTTTGGCTTCACTCCTCTTGATGTCATGCTCGTGGAGTCTCGTCGGTGTTACAGATGAACAGTCAGTACTTGATTCGTTTAATCGAGCTGCCTCTCTGAGGGCATTAAGTAGATCAGTCAGTCCTGCCCATCGTTGGTCTGTTTCCCACTTGAGCATCACTGTCAGTTCTGTCAGCTCGTTTCCATAGGAACCCTTGTATGTTTAAATCGTTCACCATGCTTATCACCGACAGCTCCACAGCTTAACGGAGAGAAATTCAATTTCCCCTGGTCTTTGAGTAGTAAGACCTGTGTGTATTGTCGCAGACATAAAAATTACCTTGGCAGTTGAAAATCGAAAAAGAGTAGCCTAACAGCGCTGCCCTGGCAAAATTCGGATTAAAAAAACTACCCAAAGTTTTTTTTAGGATCCTCCCCGGTGCAACGGAGTTCGTGCGCTGCGCTGGAATATTTAGACTCAAGCTTGTGTTAGTAGTAAAACGGAGTACTCATGGGTTACACCCGTATGCCATAACGTTGATCCGTCAATTAAACATAACGTTTGAAAACCTAAATTAAAGTCTGTTTCCACACCGCCGACTCTAGATAACGCCATCTAACTAAATCACGTGACTTTTTGGATGGAGTCCCTCGAAAACTGGTTGGTGTAAGCCTTTTCCATGTCTTGCATTGTGTGACATTTTAATGTGCTTGCAAAGTTCTGTGTTCTGAATGAATTCATATTACATATCTACAAGTGGATATACTGAAGTCGATATACAAGATTTTCAAACTTTGCTGTTAGATTACAGCAATTTGAATTTAAATTCACGGGAGACGGTCGTGTTGCGATGTGTGTGTCACTGTTTCTAGTCAGTAGTTTGGATTTTTGGGAACTGGCTGTTTATTCTTTTTCTACTTTGAATGTGGAAAACTTACTTTTAGGGAAAATACTTCAAACAGTTAATTTAGAAGCCATATCTGGAGAATATCGACAGTTGTCAGGTGCAAACTATCTTGTGTTTGAAGAAAACTATTGCTTCCATATTGACTATGCATAAATGGTGCAACCACACTGTGGATAAATTGTGTCAAGATATTTCGGAGCTCTATGTAAGTGGATGAAAATAATATTTAATTTACTAACTAACCTCTCACAGCAAGTCACTCTTTGCCTCTTTACTAATTGTTGACTAACAGTATAATTATATGTTGTAGCAGTACACTAATAATATTAATCCTTAACCATTTGACTTATGCTTCACGAACACTGGCTGTAAACTCTTGCGGAAACTTCTGTTAGTTCATCGACTTTTTTTGCATATTTGCAGTTCTACGGTCTGTTAATTTTTGTAAACTGGCTTTTGCTTTGCTTCGCGAACACTGGCTGTAAACTCTTGCGAAAACTTCTGGTAGTTCATCGACTTATTTTGCATGTTTGCAGTTCTACGGTCTGTTAATTTTTGTAAACTGGCTTTTGCTTCGCGAACACTGGCTGTAAACTCTTGCGGAAACTTCTGGTAGTTCATCGACTTCTTTTGCATATTTGCAGTTCTACGGTCTGTTAATTTTTGTAAACTGGCTTTTGCTTTGCTTCGCGAACACTGGCTGTAAACTCTTGTGGAAACTTCTGGTAGTTCATCGACTTCTTTTGCATATTTGCAGTTCTACGGTCTGTTAATTTTTGTAAACTGGCTTTTGCTTTGCTTCGCGAACACTTGCTGTAAACTCTTGCGAAAACTTCTGGTAGTTCATCGACTTCTCTTGCATGTTTGCAGTTCTACGGTCTGTTAGTTTTTGTAAACTGGCTTTTGCTTTGCTTCGCGAACACTGGCTGTAAACTCTTGCGGAAACTTCTGTTAGTTCATCAACTTATTTTGCATATTTGCAAAATAACGGTTTGTGTTAATTTTTGTAAACTGGCTTTTGCTTTGCTTCGCGAACACTGGCTGTAAACTCTTGTGGAAACTTCTGGTAGTTCATCGACTTCTTTTGCATATTTGCAGTTCTACGGTCTGTTAATTTTTGTAAACTGGCTTTTGCTTTGCTTCGCGAACACTGGCTGTAAACTCTTGCGAAAACTTCTGGTAGTTCATCGACTTTTTTTGCATGTTTGCAGTTCTACGGTCTGTTAATTTTTGTAAACTGGCTTTTGCTTCACGAACACTGGCTGTAAACTCTTGCGAAAACTTCTGGTAGTTCATTGACTTCTTTTGCATGTTTGCAGTTCTACGGTCTGTTAGTTTTTGTAAACTGGGTTTTGCTTTGCTTCGCGATCACTGGCTGTAAACTCTTGCGGAACCTTCTAGTAGTTCATCGACTTCTTCTGCATGTTTGCAGTTCTACGGTCTGTTAATTTTTGTAAACTGGCTTCTGCTTTGCTTCGTGAACACTGGCTGTAAACTCTTGTGGAAACTTCTGGTAGTTCATCAACTTATTTTGCATATTTGCAAAATAACGGTCTGTGTTAATTTTTGTAAACTGGCTTTTGCTTTGCTTTGCGAACACTGGCTGTAAACTCTTGTGGAAACTTCTGGTTGTTCATCCACTTCCTATGCATATTTACCAAAAAATTCGCAATGGTAAGGAATTGATTTCATCCAACAAGATGAAACTGGACAAATTTGTTTGTGCTGTTTGTACCTTGAGGATACATATTTAGTAGTGCTATAAGTACTGTTAAGAAAACTACTCTGGGTGAAAAAAGTATTGAACAGATCAATTTCATACTGATTGTGCTTATTTACTAATGATTAAATAACAGTATAATTATATGTTGTAGTAGTCTACTAATAATAATAATAACCATCAATTATTTATATTTATGTTATGTATGATATGTGTATCTTTCATAGCAGTATTTGTATGCGCTAAATTTGATAAAGTACAAATGTCACCCCCTCCCCCCCCCCCCGCTCCTCTGATGCAAGAATACCCTCTCAGAATCAAAGAGTTAGCACTGATATTTCTTTACTTTTGCTGGAACAACTTTTAGTTTTCATCTAAACGTTATTGATGTTTATGTTCATGTTGACTGTAGCAAAAGCATTTTTGTTTGTCTGTAAGAGCCTTTATTGTTATATTTATTCGGCACACTTATTTACCTTAAAAATGACGTATAGTTCTATAAAATATGTAGAAGATTAATGAACCTGTAGTTTAATTTGTGTATACATCTCCTAAATAAAAACTGTTAACACAGAGGGACTCAATTCTTGCACAAGAACAGGAATCCCCGTTGACCCAGTTGGCCTATTTATAGCCAAAGATGGCCGTGGTTTCCATATCATTGGGCAGTTGCTTCAGATGACAATTCCAGTGAAGTTTAAATTATTTATGCGCACCTCTTGGTATTGCTTTAAGGGCTGCTTTCAATATGCATTTGCTGAACTCTACTACATTTTCGGCATATAGCGTAACCAACGACTTGACTCTGTAGTGTTACATGAATTTCACCAAATTCTGCATTGAAACAGGAAAGGGAACATTCACGAAAATACCCGCCTAAAAAAAAAAAAAAAATCACCGAGCTCTTAAATAATTATTAATTCTGACACGAAAATCTCGACATACGCGTTGGACAGGTAAATCTGTCGTTGTTCATATTCAATAAAATGCAAACTGAGACTCTTGTTTACAAATTGAATTTGTGAATACAGTCACAACTAATCAATGCGAATAAGTCACAAGCTCATTTTGAAATGTTCTTACACCAGCTTTCAACATTGATACCATCCTCTGCCTATTCAGTTGAATGGCCAAAAGCGAAGTTAGTGGATTTGGAACACTAATATCGTACAGCCCAGTCAAAAAAGAAGTGTCCTTTAACTAAAGAGCATATTATAGCTATGAGAACATTGAAAGCTTATGATCAACTGGTAATAATAAAACCAGACTAAGGCAGTGGTGCAGTAGTGATAAAAAAGTAAGACTACCTGACTAAAATAGAATACAGCTGACAAATCAATATTTTTGCTCTGTTCGAAAGTAAACAAGCTCTGTTCGAAAGTAAACAACAGTTACCACATGGAATCAAAAATAAAGTAAGAAATTTAATCATTTTTTGATGGAATATTCATCAACGAAAATATCCAATTGGATTTATTAAGCACCACCTTACTTGGTAAGTCATTAATTAACATTGGTACTATTCGAGTCACTAAGATGTCTTTTCTGTTAGGGAAACACTCGATGTCTTGCTCCTGTGACACATCTGAAGTCACACAAGTTATGACACACATCTTTCACCAGCTGTCCCTGACGACTCGGAGACATGGTGACTTACAGAAAACACAAGTTAATATTTAGAAAACACAAGGCAGCTTTTAGAAACCAGAAGGCGACTTCAAGTACCCAGAGGGCG